GACAGACAGAGATAGATTTATCTATATATCCATCAACAACCATGGGGTAGTTTTCACTTTTGTCTATGTGACTGTTGTGAACATGGGTATCCAAGCATCTGCTCAGGAGCCTGCTTTTCAGCTCTGTTAGCAGCGTACTGACAAGCAGAATTTCTGGGCATTGTAAGACTTCTGAGGAGTGGTCAAAGTGCTTTACCTTCCCATTAGTGATGCATATGGGTTCTGTTTTCTTCCAACCTTCACAGAGACCTTGGTGGTGTTATGCTGTAGCATAACATAGTACCATGCAAATGTTTTTGAATGAACATACTGCTGTTCTCAAGTAGAACAGGAAGGAGAATCTTCTGGTATTTGCATAAGACCAATACCATCTATAAACTATTTTATATGCTATAGAATACCATCTATAAACTATTTTATCATAACAAAAGAACATCTTTTTGAGTAGATAAAACTACACAAATGTGGCTAGTAAAACAAGAAAAACAGTTATCACAAAGCCCATAATATAGTTTAGAGTTTAATAATTTTAAAGAATTTTTTAACCTAAACAAAAATATCTTTATCTCAAACAAATGCAGGCTTCAAGCCGTTACATGAAAACAATGAATCAGGCTGAGTGGAGAATTTAAATCTTGCTTTTTCAGCTAGTTGTGAGGACTGACTATGGGTGACCACATGGCTTTGTATGTGAGAGAGCAGGTGAGCATGCAGTATGTGAGCACAAGGACACATGTTACAAACACCATGTAGGAAGCAGGCACACAGAAGTGACAGTTTCAGAGTTGCATGATGGACTTAAGTTAACATTTGTGTTGATAGTTCCCTTCAATTACAAAGGCCAAGAGGCTGATAATACTCCCAGGCATTTTATAGAAGTAAAGTATGTTTTTAGAGAACACTACAGAAAATGACCACTTGATACTTCAGCATTTGTTACGATCTGAAGCAGCTAACAGGAACAGAACCATCTGATGCCAACGGAAAACTAATGATGAGAATACAGCTTCATTCTCAGCCACTGAAGGAGGAAGAGGGGCGGGGAGGAGGGCAAATAGGTGTTAATACAAATATCTGGGCTTTCAATTTTTCTTGTTCACATAAGAATGTGAAACGTTTTATTAAACTGAGGCTAGACCAACAAAAGGCTGGGATGAATTAAGGAAAAACAGAACACTTGAAATATTAAAAACTTACTAAAACTTCTGTGGCTTCAGTGACCAGTATTTCCTCTCTAACATACTGGCTCTCTTGATCACTAATATTCTTCAACACACCTTCAACTTTCTCATTGTGCGGGATGCTGATTGGGAATTGCATGTGTATTCTCATGCCTGAGGTGTGTTAACTCTGTGTAACATGGGCAGCTCTCCTGTTTCCATAGCTGGGCACACCCAGACCTCCTGCCTTCATCTCCACCATCTCCATAGCCCTGCATGCTGATGCCCTGCATCTTTCTAAGGTACACTCTTGCTCATATGCTACACTGATCCAGCTTCAGCTCTATTTTCATCCACTCCTTAAACAACATAAAAACACATATTAAGGATTCCCCTCAGCTTTACTTCTTTGTCTCCCTCACAAATTTTAAATTTAAAATCATATCAATATGAAAAGGAAGAACAAGTAAAAATTTAAGATAAAGACATTCAAACCACAGAAAAATGAAAGCAGATCTTAGAAAAGTGTTTTTCAGTGTGATTCTTACTAGGAATTTGCAAACTGCAGAAAAATATCAAATGCGTAGAACTACTAATTACATTATAATTACTTGAAATAGTGAGGTTATGTCCTTGTACTGTGTAATTAAATATATCCACCTATAAAAGGGTCTAACCTTCCATTCTAGTGTTCTCTCACTAACAATAGTGACAGATACTGTATTATACTGTATACAGATTCACTACGCCACATAGCAGAATTTGTGGTAAACATATCATCAGTATAACATGTCATCATGAAAGCAGTCAACAATCATGGAACTGATTTGTTTCAATATTCAAGATCTATCACATAAGACCAGACAGTATAGAAGGAGGGCAGACAAGATACAACCTATACTTTTATCTTTTAAATATTTTAATACTATTATGACAGAACTGAGTCAGGTACATTTGGAGGGACCATGTTCCTGTACTCTATACTCCAAAGGTTGTTAAAATGAATACACAAGAAGACAGGAGCTGTAAACTAACCACACAGATTTACAGATTTGCTCACACAACTCTACGAGCATCTCAGACTCTAAAAGCCTGGTAGGCAAAGGAAACATTTGTGAAAACACAGGACAAAGATAATTGCTGGGATAGACAGAGAAGAAAGGAGATGTATTCTATTTTATAATTTTTTCTCTTGGGCATAATTATGACGTGACATTCAAGTGCGACCATTGAAATGCCTATTTTTCTTCTCACAAAATCCAAAGACATCAGCAAAACCACCTATGTCAGTAATAAAAATAAAAAAGTCTTTGACTTTTTAAATGTTATCATACTGTCACAACAGAATAAAATTAGTTTGAAAAACGGTCTAGAGGCATATGATGCAGTTCATTATGTACAGCGGCAACAGCAGTGCTTCTCGGGGTTCATAAAGATTGCACCATTAAATTTACCTCCAGTCAATAATTAGGAGTCCACAAATAAACCTGGGCAATTAAATCAATACTACCAGGCAATTATATTCCAGAGACCCGGCTCAGTGGCACAAAAAGGCACTATATCAAACTGCAGTATTAAGCAGTCTGATGCCATTTCAACAGGGAATTTTGAACACTAAGTGGACAGAATAAGCATATATCCAGATAATTCGGAATATGGACATGCACTTTTACATGATTAAGACACACAAACACACACACACACACACACACACACACACACACACACACACACACACACGCAAAACCACCTCCAAACTAGGTCTGGTATCAGTATAGCTTTAGTAACATTTAAACATTTGATTTATTATTTTATGGACATATTTATGATAAAATTTCTAATTAAAGGAACTACAAGTTCCTAGTTACAAGGTGAACACTTAGAAAATCATTACAAGATTATTTCTGTCATTTTAAGTTTAAAAACACTTCCCAACAACTATCATTGAACTCCTTCATATGCCAGGCACTGAGCTGAGCCTGGGAAAGCAGCATGATTAAGAAATGAGCTCTCTAGCTGGACGTTGGCCATGCATGCCTTTAATCCCAGCACTCAGGAGGCAGTGGCAGGAGGATCTCTGTGAGTTTGAGACTAGCCTGGTCTACAAGAGCTAGTTCCAGGGCAGCCTCCAAAGCCACAGAGAAACCTTGTCTTGAAAAACAAACCAATCAACAAACAAAAAACCAACCAAACAAAAAACAAACAAACAAAACCCCAAAATACAAACCAAAAGGAAATGAGCTCTCCAGGCTGGAGAGATGGCCCATCAGTTAGGAGCATGTTGTGCTCTTGCAGACGGCTTGAATTTGTTTCCCAGCACTCATACTGGCTGCTTACAACTGCCTCTAAGTTCAGCTCCAGAGGGATCTGAGGCCTCTGGCCTCTGCAGGCATCTGCACTCATGAGCACTCCCCTCCACACACACACATGATTCAAAGAAAGGTACATCTTCAGTAAAATAAATGACCCTCCTTCTCAAAAGCAAGTGGTCACTGTAAAAGGTTTTGTTTCATACCTGTGCATCTGTATTTCAACAACTTTAAATAAAACCTCACCAATCATATTCTATTACTACAAGATTCCACATAATGTTTCAAAACATGTAAAGTTAGCAAGTAATAATGTGAGTGGCTTGTGTATCATTTACTTATTGTTCTTTGTTTCTTGTCTTGGTGCCGAGGGTTGGACTCGAGTGTGTACATGCGAATCACAGAGATGTAAACACTGAGCTACATTCCCAGTCCTTTCATTGCTTTATTCTTGACTTTACTAAAATCACAATAAGTGCTATCTGGTAATTCTGATGATATAAAATAACAATACTTAATATCAACTTCTGTTTTTAATTTTGCAGAAACATTGACAGGGTCTTTCAAAAAAAATCACTGGTTGATGGGTTCATCACCTCTTGCCATTTTGACAATTATGTTTTAGCTTTTATTTATTTCAGGCTGGTTTTCAAATAAACAATTAGGCTGAGAATAAAAAAAAAGGACTACAATGAAAAAGTTTTAGAATGCATTACAAGCTGTCAGTGATGTCAAAACAAAAGCTGGTTATGACTAGAAAAGTAGGGCTCTCACCTGCCAATAAACTGCCCTTGATCACTTACAAGAGGGGCACATCCCAGCAGACTATGTGTGTATTAAAAAACTACTTGAAAGGGGAGAAAAAGTATATCACACTGGTCACAGCAGCAGCCTCAATAGAGCCCTCAGGGACTCCCGCCCGTCTTGGCCTTGTCATCCTCTACGCAGCTTTCCATTCGGCCCAGAAAACGTCGATAGGAAAATGTTTGAGGGGCCTCTGGTGGAAATTTTTTCATTCTTTCTGCATTGACAGGATGCCAAATCAATATTTACTTCCCACTAACAAGCTGCTCGTGGTCTCAGTAGAAAATATTGTAGAGAATGCGGGAAGACACAGTAATAAACAGCTGTCTGGCTGTGAGGAAAACATGAATTGACTGGAAACAGGTCCACAGTAAAAGGTCACCGAAACCCATGAACTCCTCAGGTGTCCGTATCAACTTCCAACTTTAAAGACACTAATAAAGAATCTCTGTTCCTAAGAGGTCTGGGGGAATGGATCCTTTTCACTCTAGCAAGCAGAGAGGTTGACTCAATAATTTAATTAATGCACTTGCTGAGGCCCATGTTGGCTCTTTCTCAAGGCATTTGCTTCATTTGTTAAGTCCAAAAGTACAAATAGGGGGTTAACTTTACTGTCTACCTCTGGAATCCTTCTTTACCTAACAGAAGTAAATAAGGGTGTCTACAAATGGGAGGCCGGGAATATTTATATGAAAGTTTTCATATATGAAGCACAAAAATGAAATACCTGTCCTTCTAGAAGTTTCTGAATATACAACAGCCATTCCTTGTCATTTTCAGCATCAATCTTTGTCTTTTCAAATTCCTAAGGAAAATAAAAAACAGAAGCATTAACTGATATGAACTTACTAATTCTGCTAGAATCTAGCAGCTAGATATTGATCACATCTATAAAAATATCAACCAAGAGTGGCCTGTCTCTTCCAAGGCCACTTGGAATATTTAAATCCATGCTATTTATTTTTATATTTAACAGGTAAATATTTACACATACATGGAAGCTGTAGCTCTGTTTATCTATTTTATAATAAATTAGTAATTTTCTTTTCAGCTTTCACACTATGGCTCAAGATAGGGATAGATGGGAATAAAAAAGATGTAACACAGTAAAAAGTCAACACAGAGCCATATAGAAGATTCAGTGGTTAAGAGCTTCTCTTACAGAAGATCTGAGTTTGGTTCCCAGCATCCATGTCAGCGGACTTACAACAGCTTGCAACTCCAGCTCTAGGGAACCCAACTCTATATTTCCTGGCCTATGCAGTGACTCTCTCTCTCTCTCTTTCTGTCTCTCTCTCTCTAACACACACACACACACACACACACACACACACACACACACACACACACACCTACTACCACCACCACCACATGTGAAAAAAATAGAAGCACTTGAGAAACTAACACTGAAATTTACTACATGCCAATCTTTACACTAGGCCCTTCACACAGACACTCACACTTTCACCATGAATTTATTACAATTGGATGCAGTTTAAAGAACATAATTCAAACAAGACACTCCACCCCTTAATCTCTAAAAGTTGCACAGTTCATTCTAAATACACTCTGGTCTGTAATTAAGCACAGAGAATATACTAAGGTGCCCTGAGACTGCTCAGAGCAGTGCGTTCCTATTCAAGTTAGTTTTATTTCCTGAAGGGTTTGCAGGCTGTGTGGCATATGAGGCTGTGGACAGAAATCTCTCATATCAGACTGCATCAGCTCAGAGGCAGGGTCACTGCTTCATCACAGAAACATGTTCTCCAATGTTTGGACTGTGAGGAACTTTTTCTAAGTCACACACTTAAAAGAGACAATGTTGCCTAATTTACTTATTGTGAGGTTTTTCTAACTTACAGCCAAGACAGAACATCCTCTTAACACTGAACAATGAAAGTGTTCTGTGTTCCCAAGCACATGACTCTGTGTGTGTGTGTGCATGCAAGCACATGGGCAGAAACACACACACTTTGACAGAGGCACACCAATCAACCCAAGCTCTAATTAGGTGTCTGCGGCAACATGGCCAACACCTTTACTTAGGCACTGCTCTCTCCCCTGCACCTTGTTTGATCCTCCATGTGATGATACTCTTTTTCTCCCACGTCCAGAGTCAGGCAGAAAGTCACAGATGCTGGCTGGGCCAAATGTGAGCCTGGGAAACAGGGAGAGTGAGGGCTCATCATCCCACTCACCCAAAGGATGAAGATAATCTCTACAGAATTCTTTTGGATCTTTTCCAAAAATTCTTGGCAGTTTAAATATCTTTGCATTATAGACCTGTGTGGCAGAAAATCTCTTAGATGCTCAAGAGAACAGTCTCATACAAATACTTAAATCTATTGCTTTATTTCATCATTGAGCAAATATTTATTGGGATGATCTCGGTATCATCCTGTCTTAAATCTTTCCAAACACTAAATAATTAAAGACTTCTATTCTTAGGACCAAGTATTTTTCATAGGTTTCAAGAAAACTATAGATGAGACAGAGCCATTCCCCCATGACACACTGGTAGGAAGATAATTCACTCAAACAGAAGTATCTCATCCATTTTAACACAATAAATATTTTCAAGAAACAGGATTATCAAAATAATTGTAAATTCTCTCAGGAAAACCAATAAATTTGTTACCTTAAAAAATCTCACTTAAGAGATTTTTAGCATATCAAGGGTGACTTGACTGAACTAAGACAAGGTAGGGTGGTGACTGGATGACTGGGAGCTGGCTCAGCAGTTAAGAGCTTTTGATACTCCTGCAGAGGATGGGGGTTTGGCTCCAAGCACCATTATCCATCACTGAAGCTCCAGAATTCTCCATGCCCCCTTCTGACCACAGGCAGGGATATGGTACAAACAAGTACATGAAGGCAGAGACTCATATGCATAAAATAAAATGAACAACAAAAAGTGATTACTGCTGAGTGTGGTATTAAAGACCCATAATCTGAAAGGGTCAAGAGGCTGAAGCAGGAGGATCACTTGATTCTAGAAGTTTGAGAGCAGCCTGGACAACATAGTAAGGACCTTGCTTCATATAACACACACTCTCTCTCTCTGTCTCTCACACACACACACACACACACACACACACACACACACACACCAGTAATGACAAAAACCCTGGCTTACAAGATCTATAATATGCTTAGCTAAAGAGAATAGAGGAGACAGGAAGAGATGACAGACATGAGTAACAAGCAACATGAATTTTCCAAATTCCTTATTATGTCTGTTATCCTTCCCTGTTACATACTTAACTTATTTTTATATTATATATTCAATTTCTCTAGAGGAGTTGAGTTGATTATACTATATATATCTTTCTTTGACAACTTGACAATAACCCCATAAAATGAAATTCTAAGAATTATAAAACAAACAATACATTTAGATAAAAGTGCAGCAAGCCCTTTATTAATGAATATGTAAGTGATCTTACCATTTCATTTTCTGTGTCCAGTATTTCCTCCAGGTCTGATGGTGAAATGTTCAGGATGGATGCTGCCAAGGTCTGGACTTTATGGGTTGAGGTTTTACAAGCATGTTTGTCTTTCTGCATCTTCTTAAGCTCTTTGATTTGATGTCGGGTCCTATGGACATCACTTTGTAACTCTTTGACCAAAGCCTAGGACATATTGGAAAAAACATGGGTTCATATGGAAGTCATAATGAAGACAAAATGGCCAAAACATAAAAATGTGACTGTACTAGCAAATCATTTTTATTAAGGTTATTGTGATTTTATTTATTTTGGAAGAGAATGGCTGCTATCTTCTCATTGCCATTATGTAATAAAGGCTCTCTTAAATCACCCTCTTTAACCACCTATCTTTATTAACCAAAGCTCTCTAAACTCACTGTTAGATATGCTAACTAGTGTCTGGTTGGTCAGGGTTGCTACTTGTTATCATGATAAAGCACTACTGAGCTGATGAGATAGTTCTATTTATCTGTAATCATACTATTTGCATATCATTGCATAGTGGGTTTAATTGGTACATAGCTGATGAAAGATGGCTACTGAAAAAGTCACTTCTGTAATATTTTACAAAAACTAGAGATATTTTGGAAAAACTTGAGAACAAGTAGAGTAACAGTGCTATTAAATCATGCACTGAAAGGAGGGAATGGATTGAAAACATAAAGAAGCTGGAACAATGTCACCAAAATCTTTAAGTTGTTCCTTTGAGAAATCAACAAGTGCTAGCCTATGTCACTTCTATGGGCAAATAAGAAAAAGCACATTTTACTCTGCATGACTGGAGTTCTGTGTGGCGATACAAGGATAGCTTTGGGGCCTAATGCAGGGTGGCTAGGTGTTGGACTGTTTCAACACTTTGTTAGTTCAAAGGTTTCAATAAATAATCATCCTCATATATTTTTTTTAGTAGCTCTCTGATATAAAGTGAAAAGTGAAGTTACCACTACAGAGTATGAGTTGCTATAATGTTGGTAGCTGTTATTTGATTCTCTATCTCTATTCTTCCTCACAGATACTATTGACTTGTATCTACAAACACACACACACACACACACACACACACACACACACACACACACACACACACACACACACACACACACACCCTATGCAGTGAAATATCTGCTTCTATATTGCATTAGCAAACACCAATCTGGTACTTCAGTATGATTTGTTTTATCAACTCTGTTTTGAAGTTCCAAATTGTCATTTCTATCATTACAAATCAAGTATATTTTCAATTATATTTTAGTAATTTACATGTGCCAGTGAAATTATATTTGCCTATTGCATATGTTGAATTTGTCACAGTTAATTATTTTGTCAATTATACTGTTTCATGAAGGTTTAATTAATGTAGTTGTCCTAATTAGGCTTCCACTGCTATAATAAATACCATGACCACAAGCAACTTGGGGCGAAAAGGACAAAATCCTGGCAGGAACTAAAGGCAGGAACCTGGAGGCAAGAAGAGCAGAAGCCACAAGGGAACAATGCTTACTGGTGTGCTCTCATGGCTCTTTTTTCTTGATTTCTTACATAACCCAGGCCCACCTGCATATGGATGTCAACACCCACAGTGGGCTGGGCCTTCCCACATCAATCACTCATTGAGAAAATGCCTCATAGACTTGCTAACAGATCAATCTGATGTGTGCACGTTTTTTTTTTCCAACCCAGACTCCCTCTTCCCAGAAGTTTGTGTTGTTAATAAAAACCTAACCAGCACAGTAGTTGCCTGATGAATCTTTATAATGTATTCTTTTTTCTGTCTTTTACAGTTGGTTTTTCTTTTTGATGTGACTAGCAACACTGGAAAAAAGACTCTGAGGTGCTCTTTCTGCAGAAGATTCTGGAGGATACCTGAGAATAACACTCCAGATATTCAATTATAAGAATGTCAAACAGACAAGTTGAAAGAAATGTTTAGGGCATATATACTAACAACCTATGTATTACAATCATATTTCCATATTTGATTTGTCATGTACATAGTTATCCATTGATTCACTTCATATTATTGAGGTATTTCAGAGAACATGGCAGGTATCTGTACAGTTGGCCCCTAAACACATTTTTGTTCATATCATTAACTAAAGATACATATTTTTAGTTCTTCTGAGATCAAATGTCTACACAGTAAAATACATGCATATTAATGGTATAGTTCTATGAGTTTTTACTAAATGAGAACTTTGGCTAACCTACATTCAGGTCAAAGTAGATAGCATTTCCATCTATTAAGGTTTGGATGCAAAATGTCCCTCATAGGCTCATAGTATGTTTAGCATGGTGTAGAGTCTTTAGAAGGTAGAGCCTGGCTGGTGGAACTTGTCCACTGGGGGTGGGATTGGAGCTTTACAACCTGGCTCTAGATTTTTTGTCTCCCTCATCCTTGATCCCTGCAGATGTAAGCAAGGTGCCTCTCACCTGCCATCACAGCTGTGAAGTATTGTCATAGCTAAGCCTTACCACCATTATATAGTTGAACCTAGACCAGCAGTCCAAATAAAACTTCCCTTACATTGTTTCTTGTCAAGTATATGGTCGGAGCAACAAGAATACACCAGTACTTGAAAAACTTCATGTCCTTTCCTGGTTGTGGTAGTCTGAATGTAATTGGCCCCCATAATTCATCAGGAGTGGCATTATTAGCAGATGTGGCTTTGTTGGAGTGGGAATGACCAAGTTGGGGGAAGTGTGTCATTGTGGGGGCAGGCTTTGAGGTTTCCTAAGCAAGAATACTTTCCAGTGGGAAGTTACCTTCCTGTTACCTTCAAAGATGCAGGACTCTCAGCTATCCCTCCATCACCACCTCTGCCTGCATGACACCATGCTCCCCTCCATAATGACAATGGGCTAAACCTCTGAAACTGTAAGGGAGCCACCCAATTAAATGTTTCCTTTATAAGAGTTGCTGTGGTACTGTTGTCTCTTCTCAGCAATAAACACCCTGACTAGCTAAGGCACTGGTCAATCTCCAGTCAGTCAGTGAGTCTTCCTAATATCATTTATTGAAGAAACAATACTTTCACTGTCACAAGCTCTTCATGTCTATCACTTATTAATTAATGAGCTATACATTGATTTATTGATGAGCTCTCTGTTCAATGGTTTATACTTCTTTTATGTCAGTTATAAAGGTTTGATTACTATAACTTTGAACTTCTTGTTCAACATTAATTTGCTTAGTCAACATCTTGTGGTTTCATGAACATTTTTCCTAGATAGAACTGCTAATAGCAATTGTAATGAATGAATATATATAGAAACAGACATACATACATAATATATTATATATATATATATATATACACACACACATACACACACAAACACACACACACACACACACACACACACACACACACACACACACTTTGAGCACAAAGATATTTTAACAGTATTATTTCCTCCAATCCATGAACATAGCCTATTTTTCCATTTATATTTTTTCAATTTATTTTATTAGTAACATATTTTTCAGTTAACAGATTACATTGTCCTGGTTAAATTTTACTCCTACTTTTTTCCTTTACTGTTTTGCTGCTACTGTAAATGACTATTTTTCTCATTTCTGTGTTAGAGGGTGTGCTGTTAGGATGGAGAGATAGAAATAAATTTTATATATTGGTTTTGGAAAGAGCAAACACTATTGAACTCATTTAAGTTGTAGTCTTACTTTTTTATGTCCAAAACTGTGCAATCTGCAAACAGATATTTTTACTTTTTCCCTTGTGACTTCTATAACTTTATATAAGCCTTTTGCTTTGATCTTGATTTTACAGAAAAAAAGAATTTCTGGAACTTACAGGTTTTATTATATTGAGATCGTCTAACTCTATATTTAATATGTTGCATTTTTAAACATGAAAAGTTGTGGAATGTTGTGAAATTCTTTTTTCTATATCTATTGGATAACAATATGACTTTTCTTTCATTCTGCTAATTTAGCATCTCATATGTATTTATTTGCATATTTGAACCATCCACAGACCAAATCCCATTTCAACTTGGTGTATGATGTTTTTACGTAGCTTGCTAGTACTTTGTTAGTAATTCCTGATTGCATCTATGTTTGAGTGATACTGGAATGCAATTTTCTTTTCTCACCATGTCCTCATCTAACTTTGCTTTCATTGTAATACTGACCTTGTAAATGAAGTTTGGAAGTGCTCTGTCCTCTTTAATTTTTTGGAAGAGTTCAAGAAGAACTGGCATTGATTCTTCTTTAAATGTTGGGCCAGGCAGTGGGGAAACCATATGGCACTGGGATCGTTTGCCGGGAGGGTTTTGATTACTGATTCAATTGCCTTACTTGTTATTCATTTGGATTTTGTATTTCTTCATGATTTGATCTTGGTGGGTATTTGATTTCAGGAATTTCCATTTATTATAGCTTATCTAGCTTCTTAGCATATAATTGTTCAGAGTATTCTCTTGTGATCTGGATCACTTCTTGATTATCAGTCACATTTCTCTAGTTAGAATAATAAAAATCTTTGTATTTTGTTTTCCTTAATTAGTCTAGTGAGAGATTTGCCAATTTTATATTTTAAAAATTGGCCCTGTTTCACTGATCTTTGTCTTGTTTTCTATTCTTTTCATCTGAATCATTTCTTTCCTAGTGCTTACTACTTCCTTCTGTTAACTTTGGGCTCATTTACTCTTTCCCTTGCTGTTAAAGTTAGACTGTGCTCTTGAGAGCCCTTTTGTTAAAGTCATTTACAGCTGTAGTCTTTCCCAAACCACATTTTCAGCATCTCATACACATGATAGGTTGTTTCCATCTTCATTTGTCCCATTACTTTAAAAATATTCTCTCTTATTTATAATCAGTCCTATTAGCTTTTGGAGGCTTAAACTTTGCGTAACTTTCACATATTCATGAATTTTCCTCCTATTATTGATTTGCTTTTTACAGAAATAGGGTTAGAAAAGATGCTTCATCTGACTTTAATCTTTTGAATTTTTAAGAGTTGCTTTTGTGTCCCCCATTTTCCTATCCTGTAGAAGGTTCTGTATATGTCTGGGAAGACCACATGACGTTGCTCAGTTCTGCTGTTTATGCATTCTCTGTTCAGACAGTCTATGGCTGAGAGGCATCACCACTCTACTTTTGCTTTACTTCCTCCAATGCTCTT